CAGAGCCTTCCCTTTGAAAAAATTAGGTTAGTACGGACATAAGATAGATAACAAATTTCTGGTTGGTCAACATCATTTTCCAGCACAGCTTAACAAACACGGCCGTTTTCAATCGGTCGCTTCCGGCTACCTTTTTTTTAATGAAACGTCAAAAAATGTCACTTGAAAATGAAAACTTAGAACGGACAGAAAATAGATAACAAACACGAATCCGCTACGTCATTTTCCAGCACAACTTCAAACTAGCACGGCCGTTTTCGAAGACATCGGCCATCGAGGGCGCTAAATAAAAATAATACCGAAATACCGGTATTTTGCCATCAATACCGGTTTATAATACCGGACAAAAATTGTCCGAGATCCCGATTTTCGGGATCCCGGTATTGCAAGCTCTAGTTACAGATGCTGAGGTCCGGGATGTTTTAACTTACTCCAAGTCCACTAGTGTCGGAGCAGATGGTATTGGACTCAGATTTCTCTTACACATTCTGGATATAGTTATTACTCCCCTAACTCATATTTTCAACTGTTCTTTTAAACAGTCTATATTTCCGTCAATCTGGCGAATCGCCCATGTTATTCCTATCCCAAAAATTAAATCTCCGTCCCATGTTGGTGACTTTCGACCCATTTCTATTCTATCGTTATCAATAGCTATTGTACGTTTAGCTTATTTACAGATTCAAAAATATCTTGAGGAGTTTAATCTGATTAACAAGTTCCAGTCTGGTTTTCGTGAAGGGCATGGTACTACTACAGCACTAATTAAGATCGCCGATGATATTAGATCTGCTAATGTTACTTGATTTTAGTAAGACCTTTGATTCTGTGGACCATACCCTCCTGTTAACTAGGCTTACTGCTATTGGTTTTACCTCTTCTTGTGTATCTTGGTTCCAGTCCTACCTTTCCTATCGGTCTTTACCTGTCCGCGTGGAATCTGTACTCTCTTCTCCTGTTTACATCAAATGTGGAGTTCCCCAGGGCAGTGTGCTGGATCCTTTGCTCTTCTCAATTTTCATAAATAGTATTAGTGATGGTATCTCGTGTACAAGGGCGTCGCCAGAGAGGGGCAGAGGGGGGCCACTGCCCCCCTAGAGGTAGATTCAAAAAAAAAAAATTAAAACACAATAAATATACATCTCGAGTACTGAACAACTATCGAATGGGATGCCATATTTTGATCTGGAAACCAACGAAGTTCAAGAAGTATTCCACGGATTCGTCAAACTTGATGCTTTGGATGCGAAATGTATTGCAACAGCAATACATGAGTTTTCGGCAGAAGAAGATCTTAATCCGGACAAATGTGTTGGTTTAAGATTTGACGGTTGTTCGACGATGTTCGGGAAAGAAAGTGGTGTGCAAGCAATCCTACGCAGAAAATATAAAAAAGCTTTGTGCTTTCATCAAAGTAAGGTACCATCAAAGATATTATTACATTTTTTCAAGAATCAGTTATGAGACGCAAATTGATACCAAATATTTCCAAGCTTTGCGAAACAAGGTGGAGCGAGAAACACAAAAATATTAGTGTTTTTAATGAGAATTTTCCTATTATAATATAATGGATATAAACCTCGTCACGGGAAGAAAATAAGAATAAATAATGCGACTAGAAAAAATACTTGTCAGCTCCATGCAGCAGCTTCTAGAGTTTGGTTTATTCTCAGCTTTATTGGAACCTGTGGTAAACGTGCTCCAATCCGTAGCTTTGAATGCAGTTAAGACATCCCAGCACATTAGCCGCCTTTTGGAATTTATAGAAAACCACCGTCCAGAAAACGTCACAAATGGAATTATTAGGGACGCTACTATCGTTGCAGAAAAACTTGGACTGGGAGAAGACATGAAGTCCTTGCCCCGTGTTGTTCAGAGACAACAACATCAGAACAATCACCCAGCAGCAAGCCCCTCAGAATTCTGGCGGAGGTCTTTAATAATACCATACTTAGACTCGATTATTAATTCTTTTGAAGTTCGCTTTTTTGAAGAAAACACCCCGTCATTTTCCTTATATAAATTACACCCAGCTCAAATGCTAGACATGTCCCTTGAAGACTTCGTAGCAGCTGGTGAAGTTTTTTCCCAATTTTACAATTTATCAAATATCAACAACGAAATCGAACTATCGAAAAAACTATGGCAAGATAAACCTGACTCAAAAGAATTAAGTGTTGTGGATATCATAAAAGATGCCAACATTTTTTTCCCTGAAACGAGAAAAGCCTTTATAATTTTGGTCACTTTACCCTGCACGACATATACTGTTGAACGATCTTTTAGCAGCTTGAGGACAATAAAACCTGGCTTAGAAGCACTATGGCAGAATGTCGTCTCAATGGTCTTCCCATGANACCTCGTCACGGGAAGAAAATAAGAATAAATAATGCGACTAGAAAAAATACTTGTCAGCTCCATGCAGCAGCTTCTAGAGTTTGGTTTATTCTCAGCTTTATTGGAACCTGTGGTAAACGTGCTCCAATCCGTAGCTTTGAATGCAGTTAAGACATCCCAGCACATTAGCCGCCTTTTGGAATTTATAGAAAACCACCGTCCAGAAAACGTCACAAATGGAATTATTAGGGACGCTACTATCGTTGCAGAAAAACTTGGACTGGGAGAAGACATGAAGTCCTTGCCCCGTGTTGTTCAGAGACAACAACATCAGAACAATCACCCAGCAGCAAGCCCCTCAGAATTCTGGCGGAGGTCTTTAATAATACCATACTTAGACTCGATTATTAATTCTTTTGAAGTTCGCTTTTTTGAAGAAAACACCCCGTCATTTTCCTTATGTAAATTACACCCAGCTCAAATGTTAGACATGTCCCTTGAAGACCTCGTAGAAGCTGGTGAAGTCTTTTCCCAATTTTACAATTTATCAAATATCAACAACGAAATCGAACTATGGAAAAAACTATGGCAAGATAAACCTGACTCAAAAGAATTAAGTGTTGTGGATGTCATAAAAGATGCCGACATTTTTTTCCCTGAAACGAGAAAAGCCTTTATAATTTTGGTCACTTTACCCTGCACGACATATACTGTTGAACGATCTTTTAGCAGCTTGAGGACAATAAAACCTGGCTTAGAAGCACTATGGCAGAATGTCGTCTCAATGGTCTTCCCATGATGAATGTGTATAGGAAGCATATTTTTGAAAACTTTGGGGGTTTTATTAATAATCTGGTTGACCAATTCGCGAAGAAGCCACGAAAATTATGTTTTAAATAATTTGGTGTTATTTTTCAATTTTTTTGTCGTGCCCTCCTCTGGCCCAATGGCTGGCGACGCCCTTGCTCGTGTAACTATTATTTGTATGCAGATGACCTTCAATTTTATATTTCGTCAACTGTTAACAACCTCCCAGATGCTTTGTTGCATCTTAACAACGATCTATCTATACTCTGTTTTTAAACCAGGAGGAGTAAACGCGAAAGTCAGATTTACACTAGGAAAAATCACCAGAAAATATCACTAGATATTTTGGCGGTAAATTTAAATTAATAATTATTATTATTTATTTATTTACTTATTATTGTATTTATTTTCGTTTGTTATCGTCAACACTAAACATACAAATTAACATTGAAGTTATGAGTGTATTTATTTCAAAATATAATAAAGAAGGGTTTAAGAACACAAAATTTACAATAATGACACGAAACTGTCGAATTGTCAATAACCTAACCTTCAAATTCAAA